GTTTTCTTAAAGACTAAAAATGATTGATCTGTGGCAGACAAAGGGGCTGGTTCTTGTATGGATGTTTCAATCAGATACTCTGTGTGATTTGTACATGAAAATGTTATGAAAATAATACTTAAAAATTGGAAGAATGTGAAATCTTAAAGTTTAAGAAGAAAAATAGTTATCAAAGCTTGATCAGTTTGGATGCTTGGAGTAATTGTGAACTCAATTATTGCTCTGCTCCTTTTTTATTGTGGAGGAGGACTCACCAAGGCTGAAAAATGAATCCAGCTTTCTCATAAAAACATACTTTGAAAAAGATCATTGACTGTGCACTGCCCATTCATTGATATACCAATGACTTTCTCATCATTTTTCTTCACATTAACAGAATGAAGGTGTTTAAAGATGCACATGAATGTTCGCAATGCACTTGTTGCTAGGTGTCTACAAGAAATGTTATGTTCATTTCTGCACAAGATAAGAAGAGGAGATTAAACTCTTCCTGACATGCTGAAAAATATTCTGTCTTCAAAAATATTCATAGTGAAAGCAGTTAAAATGCATAAATATGTTCTTGTTATTACTTTTTTATATACGTAAGCCTTGCCATTGCTGGACAGATGATGCTATATGACTAAATTGGAAGTTGTGGAGAACAAGCTTTTCTCAGTAACTCTTAGGATAGAAAAAGTTTCCGAGCACCTGAAATAATGAAAAAGATTCACTGAATGCAAATGACAGCTTTCATCTTCCTTTATGAAGCACATGCTCATGAATATATACATTTTTGCATATGTAGAAGCTCAAGTGTATCTGCCTTCCGATGAATGAAAGAATAAGGAAATTATGTATTCAGAACTAGTTAGAAGTTTGCTTTTTTTTGTTGAATTCTCCAATTTAATTGAAGTTGCTTTCCTGAGACGGAACATTTCTAAGACGCTGCCAGATTCAAGAAGGGGGCACTGTTATCCCCATCTCCTTTCATCTAAAGGTTTTGTCCTGTTTTAAATACCACTGTTGCTTTTGGTGATACAACAGCCTTTTGGCAGTTCAGTGCTGTCTGTCTGCACAGTCTGTCCATCTAAAGTAGCCAAGCATGAGAAGCTCATCTCCTAAGGGAACTCCAACGATATCGACAGGCTTGACTGACACAAAACCAGTCTCTCTCTTTCATCTCCACTGAACTCTTAGAGTAAATTCAGGGCCTGATTGAAGGGAGATAGGGCTTTAGCCATTGACTTCCATGGGAACAGAATTTGAACACTAGCAACTACTGCCCTCTCCTAAAGCAGCCCTGAATATCTTGGCAAATGCTGTTTAGAAGCACTATCAATTTGATCCCACTTCCTTCTCAGGACTGAAAGCCAAGTTCAGGGCTATTTGTGTCTTATTACCTAGAGCAGACTTTGGATGGGAACTACAGCAAGCATTTAAATCTTCTCCTTGAAAAATGGGTTATGGCTTAATGAACCTTGTTCAGGCTGAGGCTGTTATTTATTCTTGATATTTGTATTTGTTACTGTCAGGTAGAAGTCAAAGAAAGAGCAGTGCCTTCTATCTTGAAGAGTTTATCAGGATGGAATAGCCTGAAATTTGTCTCAAGTGAGTCAATTCTCACTTCTCTGACAGGAAAATACCAACAGTAGATTTTCCAGATATGCTTCAAAATACCACGCATGCTCTAAACTTTGAGGATGTCAAGAACCACACAAAAATGTGCTTATCGCTTTAAAATATGAACATCTACAGATATCCAAATTACATTTTCTAATAAGTTACCAGTACAAAAGGTGAGAGAAGAGGCAGGGACACAGGCATTTATTTTTAGTCAGTGTGTTCATACAGAGGAAAAGGAGAAAAGTAAAAATTCAGTCCATAAACCGAAGAGTGTCTGTCTGGAATGGAAGAGAGCAAAAGCAGAAAAAGCTTAGAAGTTTCCCTTTTTTCCTTCTTCCCCTTCTGAAGTATTTGTGGGTAAAATATCCCACTTCTGCTGCAATCCTTTGCTATTATTCCCATGATGTTGATATTGTTTGAACAGTGCCTAAATATTTTCTTTTTGAATTGATAACCATAGTTGCCAGTTGTGATTTTTTTCTTGTCTGAAGTAAATTTATTATTTTTAAAGCACTTCTGACATATCATGAAACCATTAAAAAAGAATTCTACCTAGAAATAGTTTTGCTGATACAGTGGAATAGGATACGCTCTTTCCTGTATCTTCTGTTGTTAATGTATTTGACTGGTAAGAATGATGATACTAACGTCAAATATTCATGTACATCTGATCTTGCGAAGCCTAGAGAACCTTTCTTTCAAGGGATTTCAGGAGGGCTGATGTAAACCAGAGATTTGAGTTCTTCTGTGTAGTTAGAGCACCACGTTTGAACTAAGACTCTCTTACACTCTACCATATGTCCTGAAAGAAGAGAGATTATTCATTTGATTTCTTTATATATTGAGGTTGGTTACCATAGTTGTTTCTAGGTGTAAACCATTAAGACCTCCACCACTTCAGAGATAAGATAATTTTCTATCTTGCTGGTTGTAATATGCTACCTACCTGTGTTTCAAAAAAAAAAACAAACCGAAAACCAAACAACAACCCAAAACCATCTTGTCTGGACTCTGTCTTCCTGTCAGGACATTTTCTTCTGATATTTTTGCTTATGTTAATTTTGATTGACTTTTTCCCCAGAATTCCCCTCAGTTTCCTGTAGAGGAATATAACCTCAGAAACTTGCCTGTGAAGGGCATGGTACCATTGTCCTTTTCCATCTTCTTCCCTACCTCCTGAAAAGTCTGTACAATGTTTTTCATGTTTCTTTCTAGATAGGGGATTAAGTTGTTTGGCAGTCCTGTTCAATCTCAGCCAATTTTAGGAAGCCCCAAGTTAACAAATAAGAGGTTGTCAGATGGTAATGCTGGATACTGGGAATTCCAGAAATGGCAACAGCTTCCTATTTGTGGTTGGCTAATATAGAGAGAGGATATGTAGTAAACCATATGATTTCCTAGCTTGCTCAACCACATCATAGGATATGGGCTAATACCACATGTGTACGTTAGCAGATGATCATGGCATGTGTAAATATCCAATGTGCAGATTGGTTTTACATGCTCCTCCTAATGGTATTGCATGCTGCTTGATAGTTGTTCAGTGCTTAAAACAAAAAGCTTTTGAAGCTTCAGATGTGATGTTTAATAGGTCTTTCTCTAATGCTAGCTTAGCACTTGCTCCTCCCTCACAGTCACATCAAAGTGAATTGTAAGTAACCACTCTGAAATCACACAGCATCGCACTGTGGAGTAAAACTGGTGAAAGTGCAGGGCAATCAGCCCTGTAAAATCTCTCCATCTGCAGAAAGAATCTCCATAGCCACCTGAATGCTTTTAAACCTTCATTATTTTAAATTTAAAATGGTTGGCTGAGCATTGCTTCTACCAAAATCTGATACAATAATCGAAGTCAGAGGTGGGGAAGGACCTCTGGGGTCACACCGTCGAGCTTTCTGCCAATAATGGATTGTTCCCTGCAGTTCAGTTTCTAGTGACCTTGGAAATTACTAGCTGGTAAAATGGTAATGAAAAAACAAAGCTGTTAAAGCTTCAGAAGTAGCAAAAGTGATGCTGTCCCAATGAGAAATCATGGTTTTGATGTGAGATTCTCTCTGTGCATTGCTCCTTGGTTGCAGTTTTCAAGTGATCAGAGTTTTAATCTACGCTTTCTCACCCACTTTGAGCTGGCTGTAACTAAGAGGTTGGGGAAGGTGAACTTGTTTTAATATTATATGAACTTATCTCATCCTTAATCATAATTTTTATTACAAATAAATAAGTCAGCAACTTGACTAAGCCCCCTACCCCAACATTTCTTTTGCGTCCTTGCATTTGTAAGCTTTCAACATTTCTAGCTTGCCAGAAACAGGGAACAGGGAGGAAAAAACAGATTTCTTGCTTTTTTTTCCATCAAACCCTCCAGCTAATTAATTAGATGCTCTACTTGTCATGCCTGGGAACCCAAAAATTCCTGCAAAGGTTCAGATGTGACACATCATTTTTAGATTTCTTTCAACCAAGCCAATATTGGTTTGCTTCTCAGTTGACGTAGGCAGTAAAGTACAATCCTGACACACACCTGATGAAGTGGGTCGAATTTGGCCCCTCTTTTAAGAAGGAGGCAGCAAAGGCAAGCTCCCACAAGCAAGCTAATTACAGTTTTGGCTGAAAATGGTTTAGGAGGCTGGTAAAAGCTGGGTAGATGGGGAAAGATCCCAAGACACAAAGTTCCCTTTCTGTTATACCCATTTGATGTGTGGTAATTTCTTCACTGGGGGGCCCCATTGTGAGCTGCCTTTTGGGGTGTGCAGCTCTCTGAACATCCTTTCTTGCTGGGGCTCCGGCCCCGCTGACTATTGTATTCACACACACCAGATCTCAGTTGGAGAGGAAAGGGGTTTTCTCAGCTGCCAACTTGCTTAAAAGAGGAGTTAAGAGGAAAAGAAAGCTAATTGGACTGTGCTTGGCAAAAGTCTCCGTTTTATTCTGTTTATTCAGATTTTTAAAGGATTGGGTGCCGAGAAACACAAAAATAGTGAGAACATTTATTCCTTAAACGGATTCTTGCAAAGTTTTTACAATAAAAACAGAAAGCTGCTTTAGTAAAGCAGTGTTTATCCTTGCGCTAATGCTCGTCATGAATACGTGTCTAACTTAGCTGGAACTAATGCCTGACTCTACTATTCCATAACAGCAACTTAACATTCTGCATAGGCTGATTATTTTTTCAACAATATTTGCTAAATTCTTTTAAGGGCTGCCAGTATATATTTTTTGAAGCTTAGTTAGTCAGAACAGCTGCCAGTGGAGTCAAGGCTAAAAGAGGCAAAAAATATCTGCAGAAGGCAAGATTTTACTTCAAAAGATCAGTATTACAAAGCACTACTGTTGCTGGTATAATCACTTTCTTTGGGGGGGAATGCTAATATAGACTGGGTTTCTTGTCTTCACAGCCCCCACTGAGCCTTTGCTGTGCAAATTTGCTGATGGAGGGCAAAAGAAGCGCCAGAATCAAAGCAAATACACACAGAATGGAAGGCCGTGGCCCAGAGAAGGAGAGGTAAGTGCCACGCGGCAATTATTTTCCCAGGGTTTGGCAGAAGTCAGCTGCAGACCTGGAGGTCTACCTTTCAGGGCTACGAAGAAATCAGATTGCACACAAAATACAATAGTTTCACACAGAAAAAGGTATATAAGTAAGGGGGAGAGGGAGGCTTATAATAATGTGCGGAGTGTAAGGTTACAGGAAAAGAGATTTTCAGAGCTTGGTGCGGAACTGTGCGCAGCCTTGTCCCGCCGTGAGCGCTCTGCCTGCAGCCAGACCAGAGCCCAGTATTCTCTTACTGGTGTGCCGCCAGCACCCATAGTGTACCTTCTATAAAGCCCAAATCAATTTACACTTAAACAAGTCAGCAGTGTTATTTCTTCTGTGTAGTTCCTGGTGATAAAACATCATCAAGGAATAGGTGGGCTGGAAGAAAAGGGAAGGATGCACTTGCACATCCAAACGTATGGTCTACCTAAAAGTTTCCCAAAACCTTATCCGAGCTGGGCCCTTCATTCTGTCCAGCCAAAACAGTTTACAGTAGCCTGGCTCCATTATGTGTACAAAGTTGAAAAAAAAAAAAAATTCTTAACAGTCTGCTCTGCTGAAAATAGTGTGTTACTGGAGTTTCCTTTCTGTGCAATTGTACATGAAGTGACTCCAAATGGGGGTGAAATTAGAAGTATTTCCATCCTAAACACCTGTTATTTGTGTTTATGATTGAGACTTCAAGGAAAACAAAAGTATGTTGCTCAGTTGCAACCCACTATAATACATACTGGTTGGTTTTTTTTTTTTTTTCTTTTTGTGGGTTTTGCTATGTTTACTTCAATTTTACAAAGCAAATAAACGAGAAAACTATTTGGTATTTCTTAGTTATTTGTTTCTAGAGGGTTTCTGCTTTTTTGTAACTACTTGGTTTTGCTAGCTGATACTTTTTGGACCATTAGCTTATGACATATATACTCTAGCACGATTGGTGAGCTCCTAAAACAAACAGAAAGGCCTCTTGAAAGCATAGAAGTTTCTCCCTCCAGCAAGGTAGTTATTGTACACTGTTCCAACAGCAATGCTCCGAAATATTTTTAGCTTTGTGGGCTGAAAGTGCCAGTGTGGCAGCCACATTCGCTACAAGAGATTGCAGAAGTCTCCAAAGGTTCATTGCAGTCTCTTATGTCGTATGTCTCAAAAAATGGAGACGTCTTCTAAGAAGCCATTATGGTTTGTCATGTTAAGGATCTACTGACGAACAAGTGCCCAAGAAGTACTTCAAGTGGTAGACTCAGGTCACCATGTACATAGCTTGAAAAACAAAGGTCTATATATAGGAGACAATAATAAACCCTTAATAAGGTCAACAATCCATATTTTGAAGACCTCTAAATCCCTGTTTAAATAGTAAATGCCCTCGTAGCTATTAGCTTTGCTGTTCTATACTTCCTTCAGTTCAAATCAATAAACAAGAGAATATAAAGTTAAAGCCAACAAGCCACCATTATGCCTATGGCCTCAGGGCACCAGCTTATTACATCGTACTTAGTTCATTTGCTGCTAGTGGAGTGGCTTATATTTAAGCACAGTGATACAGATCCCTGTGACCTACAGGCAGGGTGTGGTTGGTGTGTTTATAGCACCAACATTTAAAAACTAGTTTTCAGTGCTGGAAGACATCATTCCTTGTTGTTGTTCACAGTCAACTACAGAGCTGTTGTCACGGCATAATCTAAAAATGTGGAAAGATTGTAAAAATACAAACTCAGAAGTATTTCAGGTTAATAATGTGCTCTGTTTTCTTAGATTTTCTTAGACTTTTGCTGTTTACTAACATCTGGTTAATACCTTGCTGCACATTGGGTATTTACCGCTCAAAGCATCAAAGACAAGAATGCATGTTCTCTTTTAGGGTCGCTCATTTCTTTGATTTCTTCCCCACCGTTGTTAATTTTCTTATTGCCAATGTAAAATCCTTCTGTGTAACTACTCTTATATTTTATATGCAATAGGCTTTCTCTAACTCTGCCCTTCAGTGATCTTACTCTAACCATGGTGTACCGTTCCGTTGTTCTCTGTGTAACAGTACTCGGGTAACCTTCCTACAATTATTCCTGTCAACTTTAATTTCTTTAAAAAAGAACAGGCAGCAAGTAGGAAGAAATAATTGATATATGACAAGTGTCATAGTTCTGATTACAAATGGGATTTGGAAATATTCCCTGAACCTCTGCTTTTTCTTGGTTTCTTCCCCAAAGAAAAGCATTGAAATAGTGTCCAAGAGATTGTTCCCTCAGTATTTCCACCCTGGCCAAATCCTGCGGTATCTAGACCAAGATGTATTTGGCTATCATTCAGATAAGCCTTTGCATTCTTGAATACTTACGTGAAGGGCATTTCTAAATCTTCTGAGGTTTAACCAGCATTAACACTGAGCGTGCATGAGGATTATTGCTTGGAAGGACAGACCCCAGAGAAATGGCAATAACAGTTCTGTCACTGGCCTCAAATTTGAGTATGCGAAGCAGGGACAGGCAGCTGTGCCCAATATTCTGCTGCAGGGGGGAAAACGGCAGGAGATTTAGCAGGGAGGAGCAGGTTTTACCTCTCTGGCCATGCTATTCTCAGAGGCCAGTTCTCTCTTTTGTAGAGACCTTCTGGGGAATTTTGTAAGAGAGGATTGCTTTTTTTGGTAAAGTTTTCAGACAATACTGCAGAACATAATAAAAAATCTTATTCCTATCATACATTTTTGTAGATTGCCTCATAAACATATAGAAATACTTTAGTTGGCCGTTAGAGTGTCTTACCTTTTAACGTCAAGTCTTTAGGAATACACTGAATTTCTCCAGGGCTTTTCAGGGGGGTTTTTTTGGTACTTGGTTACTTGGCCAGTGGTAACCAGGGAAGAATGCCTGACCTTGAATAGCACTTTCTAGTCCTTACCCTTCCTCTCTTGGTTGAAGCCTCAGGAAATACTCAACGGATTTACTGAGGCATTTGACTGAGGATTTGTGATGGCTGACCAGTTCTGGACTAAGGAGCTGAGAGCTTAGATTACTGATGGCTTTATAAAAGGCTGTCAAAGTAGGCATCTAACATACAGGTTCAACAAATGTACAATGAAACCTGCAAACGTTGGAAATATTTGCAGTGAGATTCTGACCTAATAACTGAGTTATTAGTTTATTTATTTTTTATTTCAGGATTGTTTTTTTCTGAGTCACACTGGTTTAATTTAGCACTCTGTTTTGAAACTTTCCCTGACAAGATCATGTTGAGATGGTGATAGAGGGTAATCATATTCAAATTCTGTCTGTAAAATATTTGATTTAATTTACCTCCAAATTACAATTGACGAGTCTAGAAGTGGGTGACATTTCTCCAAAAAAATGTTCATTAGCTAGAAATGCATCTGGGGAATCAAGAGTAGTTACAAATTGAGATCAGACTGGATTTAAAACTGCAACTTCAATTTTACAACATAATCTTTTATTGCAGATTTACAGAAACTTTGTTTTGATTATTCAGAAATAAAATCTTTGATATGTGTATTTAAGAGAGGTTTTATTTGAAATTTATCTGGTAGAAAGGGAGAAATCTCACATAAACTGAAAACAAATTAAATGCTTTGCATCAGCCCAAAGCTGGTTATTGTTTACATTCTTCTAGAAAGGACAGTGCTAGAAATGGTAGCTCTTCTCTGTCTGGTTGGCCCAAAGTGATTAAGTTTTTTTTTTATAGTCACAATGTTTTGAAACCTTTGATAGTTCATTTGCAAGTTTCTGTAAAATTTAGACCATTTGAATATTTGTGTTGTCTTTCTTGAAAGAGAATATCGCCATTACAGTATTGGTGCATATATCACAACAGCAACCTGTACAATTGAATGTGACATCCTTGTCGTTGAATTTGGTCTGATGTCTATGATGATATTTAGTAGTTGCCACCAATAATTCTTATATTGATTGCTTTCTGGCTTCTGCAGTCAGGGTTACATTTTTGTTTCTCAGTAGCCAAGAGGTTAACCTCCATTTCCTTCCCTTCCCTCTCTTCCTCCTTTCCCCCCTTCTCCTTTGTTTTCTTTCAAAATCAATTGGTCAAATGCCTATAAAGAATTAAACGTGTTTTTAATTCTTTCTTAAAAAAAGAAGATGACACATTAGTTTGGGAATGTTGCTTTTGTTAACAGTTTTTCTTTTTACCTGCTACTCATTACAATTTTGTCTAATGCAAACAGTAATTTAGAGAGAAAAACATGCAATAAGTAATTCGAGAGACTTCACGATTTTTTTATAAAGTCAGTACCAGTGAAGGGCTGAAGCAGTTGATCCTGGTGCCAGTCATTCCTTCTTTATCAGCAGCAAGCATTTATAAATGATTAGCAGATTCATGCCAAGCCCATTTATAAATCAGATTTCTTTTTATTCTTCCAAGGAAATAGGTACTACTTAGTTGTGTTCCGTAATCCTCAGTGTCTAGGGCTGATGTATTTTGTACCTAGACAAATAATTTGTCCTTTTCTGTGGGAGACAATTTCCAGGCCTGTCCAGATATGCAGTAGTACCCTCAGATGCAAACCACGCAACAAGACAGTTACTGTATATATAGCGTACATGTAAGTTAGACATGGGTCAGTATTTTGCATGCTTATTTTCAGCAAAAGCTTAGTCAAGCAAAGAGAGGAATTGGTCCTGAAAAGAAGCCTACACAGAGGGAGAAAGAAAAAGGGCAAAAGGTAACTGGCAAATCAGGGGAAAGATACAGAGCAATGAGTTGAAAATTCTTCATGACACAAGATGCTGTCATTGTGGGCAATGTTTTGAAAAGGTGCCTAAGTAAGTGGCACAAATACCAAAGACCAGTTTAAATGGTTGGATTCTGAGTTTCTAAAGCACACAGAAATATTTTAAAATAATGACCTATGTGAAATCACTGTCCCTGAAATCAGGATTTTAAAAGGGATTGGTTTTACTCATTATAAGGGCCGTAGTTTGGTTAAAGCAGAATCGGGACTCTCTGAGATTAGTTTTATTAGTTTTCATATTGGCTTTGGATTTCCTTCTGCAGTAAAGAAATGTCATGCCATTTGCCCCAGAGATGTTCTTGCAGTTGGATTTTCCTCCAAATTCTGCTGCTACGAGTGTTTCTTCCGCAGAATGAACACATATTGGAGACGGGGGAAAAGGACATATATCTTCCTGCACCGTGCTGTATCCCCGACAGATATTTGGTGGGCTGTCATTTTCAGTAGTGCTGCAAGCCATCCCTGGAAGACTTCCCAACTTACTGTAACACACACATCTAGTGTGCAGATGTGACTGTAGTCCACAGCTGATTTAACACCGGATCAGACTGATGGCAAAACAGGTGTGCCAGATCCCCAAAAGCAGATGGTTTGTAGAACTGAAGATGGCAAGGCGAAATATATGAGTTGGCTGTGGAAACAGAATAATTATCTTGTAATATATATGTCTCTATGAGGCAGATATTACCCTCTTTTTTTTCTTTTTAACTTTTGTAAACTTCAGCACTTACCTTTTAACTCATCAGATAAATTGGAAGTAGGAACAAAGTGATTCAACACGGAGAACAGAAGCTGTGTAGATCAGACTTCCAGTCCAGTTCTGTAAGACAAAAGGGGTTTCTTGTCATTCATTTGGCTATCTGAACTTGGCATTGTGTTTATCAGCTCAACCTCTGACCTTCTGAGGTTCACGAATCACTTCACAAGTCTGACCGCAATATGATTTATTTTTCTCTCCACAACCACTTTTTTCTCGGACCTTGCAGCTGCTTAGGGAGCACACATCACTGGGAAATGCTCCATTTCTTTCATATGCATCTATATATTTAACAGGTGTCACATTTACCTTCTAGATTTCTCCTTCTCTAAAAAAGAAAGGTGTTTTTTATTCAGAATTAAATTCAGAAATATTTCTAATAATGTGGAATATTTCTGACAGAACTGTTTAAATAATCACAGGAAGGAACTCTGCCAAGTTAACTTTACTGCTGACTGAGCTTATTTTATTAAATCAGTATTCTAAACGAATCTCATTTGAGTTGTTGGTTTCTTCCCCCTCCTCTCTCTTCCTTCTTCAAAGTGTTTCAGTCAGAGTATCTGCTGTCAGGGCACAAGAGATCCTTGTGCTGTGATGCCTGGCAGATATTAGCAGTGGTAACAAAACAAGTACAGGAATTTCAGTGTTGAAATTCCAATTGATTCCACTGTAGTAGCCAAGAGCACACCCATTCCCCCGGGATGGCAGTCCTCCATCCTGAGGGGATGAGTCAGAGGAGATGGGGAAGAGAGATTTATCTTCTGGTCTAATTCCCACATTGGTTCACGCCAGAAATCCCTTCAGTCCTAGGGTACAACCTTAATTTTCCAAATCTTACCTTAAGGAGGAGGAAATCTAGGGAGGCTCCTGCTTGGAAAACCCACCCCATCAGTGGATGTCACTCCTTTTTAGTTTCTAGGCTTTTATAGTTGTGGGGTTTTTTTCCACTGGGACTGTGGCTTCCTGCACAGTAAGGTTCCAGGAGATATGTAGAAGATTCACCTCTGAGGAAGAGGCATGGGACATCTCTGTAGTGGGTCAATATTAAGGTGAATGTTTTAACACAGCGAGGGGAAGATGCGTGCACTGCGAGTAGGTGATGATATGTTGGTGAAGCTGTTAGTGGAAGCTGCTTCCCAGCAGCAAAGAAGATCTCATCCAACCTAAAATTTGGTCATTTATAGATAATTCTGTTTGCTGGAAGCCAGATACTGGGCTGATAAAGGTTATTCTTATGAGAGTGGAGAGAGATTTGGAAGAGAAATAATAAACCCACTTTATTTCACATGTTATTGAAGATGTGATCGGTTTTAAATAATCACTCCACAACTTAATCATTTTTTGAGAGATTTAAAAATCCAATTTACATAAGCAATGCAAATGTGATGGTCTAAGAGTCTTTTTAATGAGGCAAATGCGCTCATTTATGTTCAAATCATAACAAAGAGAGGGGAAAAAAACAGAAACAGAACACCTTGTCTTTGCCCATGGAAAATTTTTCACAGTAAATTGTTGAACAAAGGCCTCCAAACTTCCTGGGGGAACTCTTGCCTTCCAGAGGCTTTCTGATATTTCCTGTACTTTACTGAAGGAAAGAGCTTAAATTTAAAGAAAGGTGCAGGCTTTAACTCTTGTTATTAGAATCTCTTTGTTCACCGATGTCAATAATTAGAAAACCGCAGCAACAAAATAGCAAAAGTCTTCATTCCTTTGTCTTAAGTTCAAGCACTCTGGTAAAAATAAGCAATAAGTAAACACATACAGTTCAAATAGTCTTTAAAAAAAAATAATCAGTATTTTAAATGAGCTGGTTTTATTTCTGTTTTACTTGTGACATACTGAACACACCAGTCGAGTAATCATTGAGAATGGTCTTTATGATTATGTGTGGGACCGATAAGTAGATACCACTTTTTTTTTATTGCTTTAAGGAACTGCATGTTGAAATGTTGAGGTGCAGGATTTTCATTCAGTAGCTGAGTATGTGTCCATTATCTGGCTGAGCAGCATAAAAATTCTGTGGTTCAGTTGTTCCTTCATAGAAGATTTATCTGACAAATATTTTCCTAAAGCAGCATTCCATCATCAGTGCCGCTCTCTCAGGTGGCATTTCATCAGGAAGTGTCACTGTCAGAAGAAGGAATAAGACTCTGTCCTTCCATTGAAACATGAGCAAAACAGTGGATGAAAAGACCTGGAAGAAAGTACTCTTCAGCACAACCAAGGACTGCTATAGAGGCATCAGCCAGCGCCTCGGTGTAGTTAATACCATATTAAGCACAATGACAACTCTATTCAGTACTGGTTTTGACAGAGTAAGCTAGACCTCTATCGTGTGGAAGTCTGAGGCCAACCCTAATATTCTCTATTTGGTATTTTTGGAATTCCTGTTTGTGTGCTATGGAGGAAAGTGCAGACAATTTTCCAGTAAGTTATTATTGCTCATCAGTTTTTATTCCTGATGAATGAGGATGCTTCAGACCATAAATCTTTCACTGGTCCAGGCTAACTGTTGCCTCTCCCGGGCTTCCAGCCAGCATAATTTTGTAGGGAGGAATTACACAACTTGATGAGAAAGAAGTAAATAGTCCTCTGTTAGCAGTTATTTGAAATAGCAGCTGTTTAAGGCTATTCAGCAATGGGGGATATTAGCAATATTACTGGGCAAACTGTAGGTGGTGTACCATATGCACGCGTTGCCGCATGCTGTGTCGTATTTGTCTAATGTGAAACTTTCATTTACTGGCAAATGTGATAGTGATATTTATAGTGGTCACCGCTGAAGTACTCAAACAGATTCTGGTAATCTGTCACCGTGCAGCATGGATATGGAGCATGGATAAGGAGATGAGTGTCTAGCCTTTCAGATTTTGTACTCTCCAGGCCCACAATGATGCCCCTTATTCCTAGTACCAATAATATGTAATGGATGTGATGCTAATATATAGAGAATGGCATATGTGCAGTTTGTCTGCGTCCACCCAAGCGCAGGCCTGGGGCGTGATGGGGTTGGAGGGCAAGCTGGGGGTCTGTGCATGGCCACGGGCTCTAATACCAACCGAAAGCAGCATAAATGTGCGTTTGCAGGTCTTATCTGGACACTGGGTGCTGTTAGGGCTCCAGTGAAAGAGCTGCTGCAGTTTGTCCTTTCTGCACCCTCATTTATGTCAGAGAAACTAAAATAAGAGCCCTCCCTCCCTTGTTGCCACTTTGTCCCCAGGCCACACGAATGTGAGCTGTAGTATACAGTGGGCTCTGATCCAGGCAACTCTAAGGACCATTAGATCTAGAAATTCCCTTATTTAGAAAGCTTGGATCTCTCCGTTCCCAAGAGATTATAAGGGGTTTTTTTCTTAGTCTCGGGTAGACGTGTGATGAGATGTTAAATGTCAACACCTTGATTTATAGAGAATATCTTCAGTTATTTTTAAGTTTTTAAAGAAATTCTTAGAACTATTTTTTCTGTCCCTCTAGGGCTTGTACATACTATTTAAGTTGTCTTTACCAGTGCAGGAATATAAAAAGAGAGCAATAACAAATTTTACAAGTGTTGAAAAGAGAAAGGAAAGTAGGAGAGGATTTTTTTCTTTAAAATGTATTGCAGACAAAAAATGGTTATGATATTAAAGTTCTGTTGGCTGTGTTTTGGGATGAACCATATACATTTCCATTAGTAATTAATGCAGCCTTACCAAACAATATAACATGCTGAGGATGTATAAGACATAAGAATATAAAAACAAGTAGATCATCCTGTACAATTCTCTAACCTAATTAATTTTTTACATCAAAATTAGCAGTGGTGGGGCACCCTAAATTTGATTATTTGACATTTTAAACTTGCAGAAATAGCCATTTTTATTTGTCTTTAGATTAAATTAATGCATTTTTTAAAAAATAACCATTTTGGCTTTAGTCTCCTGAATTGGGATATAGTACATATTTTATTAAAACAATGGCATTTTCAATAAGCAAAGCCTTATCAGCTGCTTAAAAGAATGAGAAAAATATACAAATTTAATAACGACATGAGCATTTGTTTGGCTACATAAGGTAGTGTGAAGCCTACACTTTCAGATCAGAAATTATTTTTGGCCTATGGAAACTTGGACCATCTCCTCTTAGACCAGTGTGCAGCTGCCAGGCTAACCCGGCTCTTCCAGGAGTGCTGCCTGCTCTCTGCCCGCTCGTCACCGGAGCCTTTCCCCTGCCTGCTCACCTGCCTGCATGGGAGCTGGCCAAGCCCGAACGCTTTCCTGACCTGTCTGAGCAGCCATCTGGAAGGGGGCAGGTGCCATTATTTGAAAGTACTTCGGTGGATGGGTCCAGGGGCATTAAAAAGCTCCCACCAGGAGCGTGGACCCTGCTGCACAGTTAGTAAAGCACCTGTCCTTGATGCAAATGCCTCCTGCCTCAGGCAGCGAGCATACTGTCCGTATGACAAGCAGAGAGAAATACAATGTGCTGGGGTGGGAGGGTGCCATGGCCATTTCTCAGCCGCTCCCAAAGGAAAAGGAGCACCTTGAGTAATGGGGGTCCTCTCCTCTCTCCTCCTAGCCCTGCACAAAGGGAAGCATCTTCCTGTCTCCTGCTAGTGTCTTACACTGGAAAGTATTTCATGAGGGGAGGAAAAAAAAATAATACGGAAGAGAAAAAGTCAAAGCAAATGCAGGGCGTGGGAGGAAATATTAGCAGTCCCACATCGTAAAGTGGATGCTGGGGAAAAAGCTCATCCTTCCCACGCGGCCCCGGCTGCTGTCTTGGAGCATAAGGTGGAGCGGGAAGTTGGGTCTCCAGCCCTGCTCTCTCCCAGCCTTTGCTGCGGTACCTGTGGACCTGTCTGCTAATGGTGGCGGTGGTGACGGTTGTTAACTGGATGCTGTTTTGACACTGCCAAATCCTTTCACACAGGTCACATCTGCTTGGTAGTGAACGGCAGTTGAAAGGCTCTGTGTCGCCCATTAACAAATTCTTCTGCTGTCCAGACCTCTGAAGTATTTTAAAAACCCTGTTTAAAAGCTCAAGCACTTTTTTTTTTTTTTTTGGTTGCTCTTTTCTGCTTCACAGCCCACTTTTTGTTTCTTGTCTTACGGTAATGAATTAGCTGGAAGTACGAGTGACAGCCCGGGGAAATGGTAGACTGGGGTCAGGCAGGGTGTGGCCTTTGTAGGAAAGATGAGACTCCCTCCTGAGAAGCTCTCGTGAAGTTGGCTTTAGAATATTTACCAACTACCCGTCCCACAGGCAACTGCAGGATTTGGCCTGGTCTTGTTATAGTGTGCAGTCGGATGTAAATGCATTGATCTCAGTGGAGTTATTAACTGCTACTGGTGCAACAAAACGGTTTGGCCTAAATGTTATGGAGATATGACAACCAACATACTGATCAGATCTGTTTCTCGGGGATCTCTCAGGCAGGAGAGGTAGCCAATCTGTCCGTGCTGCTTTGAGCCATCTGAGCTTCCCTGGAGAATTTAGATTTCCATCTAAATTGCATTCAGTTTTTATTCATATCTGCTTAGAATATGTTTAACATCTTTTTTTTTTTTGTCCTTTTTTTTTTTTCTGCAGTAATAGTAAAAATCTGTTTTTCTTCTCTAACTATGTGCAGGCTGGCATGGCTTTGACTTACGATCCAACAGCTGCTATACAGAATGGGTAAGGAATGCACGTTTTCTTATGCCTTTTTAAAAATTATTTTGAATGCCATCTTCTGTTTTCTCTTTCTGTGGTGAAACTTGCTCAGAAGCAAATTCACTCAGTCATATTTTGTCTGAGGCATGTAATGCTGTAATGTCAAGTTCTTCTTTTAGTTTCCCTTTTGGTTTTATGCCCCCTTGTTTGTAATATCCATTTGAATGGGAAGTTGTTTTTCCTAATAGTTTCCATCTCTATTTGGCAAATGCTGGTGAATGTTTTTTTAAGCTTGCTCTGTCATGAAATGGAAACCAGTAAAGTTTTCCTTTACTGACTTTGCTTTTGTTAAAATAATCATTGAAGTTTCTAGCATATTTTGGATAATAGAGCTGTTAGTTCATGTGGGGTTCTCTCTACAGGCTGGCTGGCTTCCATAGCATTGTCTGAATAGAAATGCCTAATAGGGAGAAAGCCTTAAATTAATGTGTAAGCAGATGGGATTTAGGAGGAAAATTCTGAGCAACGCTCTTCTTCATTTCTCAGCTAGGGTTTGCCGACACAAAGAATTGTAACTTCGTTTTTCAAACTTAGCAGAGAAGTTACATCATCGTATTATTTACCTGCATGATTACATTTCCAATTATTTCATGAGCTAGAAAAACAGAGCCTTGAAATCTAGCTGTCCTTTCAGAGAGGTTAACAACAATTTGAAGAGAAGCAGGAGGTTTGGCCCTGAACTCTTTGACAGTCCCTCTTTGATCAGAGGGATGTTTGATATGATTATTAAATTCCATGCATACTCCCATCTGTGTTCTCCAGCTGAAGGGGAGAATGTATTGGTATGGGCGAGAATCAGTTTATTTGTTAAATACTTGTTAGGGCACTGCTAGTTGAAGCATTTAGGAAAAAACTAACATTCCTACCAGTATTAAAAAAAAATAAATCAATTATAATAGTGTATTTTGCTTAATTGCCCTTTTCAGGCAGTAGCTTTGTAGGACTCGTGATATTCCCATGTTGTGGAGGAAGCGGCCAAGCCAGAGCAACTCGGAACATAGAGGGCTTTTGCATAGTTTTGATTTCAGAATCCTCTGGTTCTGTTTCCCTGTTCTGACCTCCCAAACAAGTCTTCTCCTCTATCGTCATACTTTTCAGTTGGTAACACATTATAAACTCTAAATAAAACCATGACTAGCTCATAATCCACCAGTGTTTCATCCAGACAACTAGCTTTTATTTCAAAGGAATTCCTGCGTGTCAGTTGCATGAATGTTTTGGAAACTGTAATTTGAATGAGCCTTTGAGATTAATATCATTTTACTTCAAGAATAATTTTTTTCTAAATTATGAAAGTTATCTCAGAATGAGAAGTTATTTGTATCAGAGAGTACCCCTGCTGCTCAGGTGTTCAGGCTGCTCAGGTGGTTTGGTCACTCGGCTGTTTGAACACGCTGTCACTGATCATTGGGAAAAGAAATAGTACCCAATGGAGAATTTCATCTCTGCAGTTTTTTAAGTGTTCTTTTATTTGTAAAGCATGAAATAAACTACAGCACTGAATGTCTCTCTAAGAGTGACAATTAATTACCGCTTTGACATATCTCTTCTTTCTAGAGTGTCAAAATATTTTCGATTTCATTGGGACAAAACCATCTCATTCAAAATGCTCTTATGGTGAGATCTTGATTGCATGCAGTATCATGAGGAGAAGCTCCTACTAACTGGAAAAATCAATTTGTCCACCTAAAGTTACACAACTGCTTTTCTATCCTTTGGTTGCATCTTTAAAATGCTGTCACCTGAGGATGACCAAGACCTTTTGGTTGCACGGTTTCTTTTTAGCTCCCCAGGCATTCCCTTAATAGTCTCTACATATCCTGTAGTTGTAAATTTTTACTATTTTTCATAAGCCTCTTTACTTGCAAGTACAATAAAAATCTAGCTCATGGGTTTTATTTTAGCTAAGTCCGGGAGCACCTCGATGCTTTTGTGTAAGATGTGCGAATGCAATTTGTTGCTCACTGACACGAGACACGGGTAGCATAGCAGGTGTGTGGCTGTGGTGAAAGAGAGTTAAAGGCGCTTAAGCACTGTGAAGTAAAACAGGTTAACTTAATCCTCAGGGAAAGGGGTGTTAGGCAAACACGTTGCTCTTCTGCACAGTGAGGACAGTCTGGAAGTGAGCGGAAAGCTGCTGCCTGCAGCCCCATTGTGTGGATGGTGTGCCCATACCCACCCTGGGGGAAAGATGCTGCATAACACTTCGGCGGTAAGGTGGACCAAGCCATTAAGGTTTGCATGGAGCAATGTTACCCAAAGGTCTGCAAAACAAAGACCACTTCCTTGCAGCAGCCCTGTTTGGTGCAGCGGTCAGGTTAAGCGGGTGTTGACCCTGCACACAGCTCAGGACTTGTTGATGTGCTGTGATAATCACGAGTTGCTCAGTCCTTTGGGTGCCCACCAGCGTGGAGCTTAGTTGAACTGAGGCTGGAGATGGGAAATGGAAAGATACCCAAGCCAAGGTGAATATTCAGGTGAGGTATGAATAATTACCAATAGAACTTAAAAAGAAAGATCGACTGCACATGCTGATGTTTATTAGAATGCTTTATAGGGTTGATAGATAAATGCATTGATGCATGTAAGTTGCTAAGTCCACACAGGATTATATGGAGAACGGAAGCTTACTAGAGAGACATGTCTCTGCCGGTGTCGTGAGGTGGTATTTAAAATTCACAGTTCCTTAAGAGGTGTGGATTATATTAGGTTTTTGGTTGGGGCATAACCAAACCTCAGGGAAGAATATGTTGTCCAGAAGAAAAGGTGGGTTCTCATTGCTCGTGGTGTAGTACTATCACTTTTATTACTCTATAACTGCGTATTTGCCTTGAAAATCTATAGCAGGAATAAAACAATAGAGAGTGAGAGAGAGGCTTTCACTAAAAATAGCTAAGATTTTTTCCCCACAAAGGAAGAGATAATTTTCTTCTGAGTGTATTACATTGTAAAGCTTGATTCTCCATTTCATTATATTGTTTTTATGCCCATGTAACTCTGTTTAAGCATCCAGTGGAGTTACATCAGCATAAAACTGGTATAATGGAGTGGAGAATCCAGCCCGTAGTGTACCATAGCATTGCAGTGTGAGTTACTGAAGATGTGGTAACCACACACATCAGTAGATAAGCTCTTTTCCCCTGCCAATCTCTTTGTGCCTTTTTTGTTTTATAATCATCCTTTTCTGAATTGCATTTACAAAGGTACTCAGGTTTTATTTTGGGGAGTAGTGTGCCTGTTGTAATATGCTATTGATTTTTCAATTTGTGGTATTAATATTGTTTTAGTGGTTTAATGCACTCATACAAAGAACAAAATAGAGCTCTTGTACTTGCACTGTAAGGACGCTCATTTAAAATGTTCCTGAGGCTTGAGTCCTCCTGGCCATTTGACTAAGATTGTGATGTACAGTATCAGTTTAATATCTGATATCTGGGGGACTATACTGTGCATTTGCTGGCCAATGGGCTCAATATTCAGATAGGTCTTTTTCATCTCAAACATCTGACTCTGTGGCTTATTGCTACAGAAAATTGCTGCCTTGATAACGCTTGGTAATACTCTTACATTACGTGAGCCCCAGGATACTATTTATGAATCTAACTTTTTCAGTACTGCCTGCAGGCATGAGGCATGAGCAAATGGTGTTTATTGCAGTGCAAATAGGGTCTTGTTCTTGTGCAGATTCTGTGTGGAAGCTTGCACATTCCCCCATAGGATGGGAACCATATGGATTTTTTTTTTCTATTTTTTGGCAGGGAAATAGCGACCAGACGCTACAGATAATGCAGTCCCCAAATGCGGAGGGAGGGTTGATGTAGGAGGGGAGTATGTGCTTTGTCTGTTAAGCAACAGAAACTGTTCTTAAAGCATTGCCTGTGTGTGCCTGATGAGGTACTGGGAATGTGGTTCTTTTTAACATCTCTTAAAAACATTTTCTTTTGAGCCCTTTATAAAGCCTTCTTCATGAACATTCAAGAACATCTTTTTGCCTTCTAGTGATGAGTTTTCCCTGTGCTTATGGAAACTGGGCATGCAAAAAAGGTCTATTTTTAATACAAGGGAAATGGCCATTTTGCCTCGTCCCTGCCACCTGCCTTTCTCGCTTTTGCTTCTAGCATTGCAATTGCAGGTGAGGAGCAGGGACACTGACTTGCGCCTGCAAAAAATTGTACAGGCCAACATAAGGATGCAAACTGCATTTGCGGAAAATGCAGCTGAGCCTTTTGGAGAGCTCTCCTTAGAGTCCACAGGTCAACTACCTTAAAGCCTACAGCTCTCAGAGTACCATACCAGATACTGCACATTTTAATGCCAGCAAACTTGGGGGCATATTTGAACAATATATCTAAAAGGAGTCAAAGCCAATATAATTCCTATATCTTTCCACTCCTTTTTCTGATGTACGTATTCTGATGACTGAGAATCCTGTATTTCCTTGGACTTATTACAACATGCATCTTCCACCTCATTTCACCTCTCCCCAAGCCTAATGAAAAAAAAAAAAAAGGAAAGCCTAAGATCGAACATGGCAAGGTCAGCACTTGCAGATCTTGTTGGGATGCTGTAGGGTTTACACCAGACCAGGCCGCGCTTGCATCTTTGCTCCTTCTGTCTTTTTTTAGGTCCCCAGCATGTCACTTATACCATTTACATACTAGGACATTAGACTATTTGTCTGTAAAGAGAATTTGGGGAGGTGCCGCTGTGTCCCATGGGTGAGAGCATGTTGATCCCTCTTTGTGAGCGGGCCCTGGCAGGGTGGGACATGGCTGTAGCCCTGTGGCAGGTTGAGCATCCTGTACCTCGAGGAGGCTCCACTTAAGCCTGTCCCCAGCAGGGACACCTCTGTCCTCACCATATCACTGGACTTCACGCATGGCAGAGAGGCCTTCAGAGTATACTCGTTCAGTTCTTGCTCCATTCAATTCCCTCAGGCAAATCCAAATACTTTTTGTAGATCCCTTTGGGCACAAGGGAGGCTGTGGCAGGAAGACAAACCTTTGCCTCTGGGTGCACAGGATTCCTGATTACAAAATGTTTGACCTACACCCTGTCACAGTGACTCAGATTGTTAAACTTGATTTATTATTATTAAAATCAGATTATATGGACTGGATTTTCTCAAATTGTCATTTGCTGCATCGGATTTCCTTCCTTTCTCTCCTTTGACCCTCTGGTGCATGCATTTTCACAATATAGCTGAGTGTCCTGGTAGAATGTTTTATTTGATGCTTATTTGAGAGCATTCCAAACTGTGACAGATAAATGGTATTGGCAGGGGTGTTGGAAGGGCTGTATTTTTCACATTACTAGAGTGTATATTCTACAAGCTTATGTACTATTCAGATAACTGCATCTCTAAGCTGAAACTGAAATGGTTAGCTGTCTGTCAAGTTCTTGGCTTAGCACACATTTTCTGCAAATTTGGTAGCATTTGCTGGGATTTATTGGAGAATTTATTCCAAAGAGTCAGCATTACTTCCAAATGGAAAGTTGTTTGTCCCCTGCACTCGTCTTTGTCCGAGCAGTTCATATGCGTGCAGCATCAGTGCCAGGCTGATGGACAGAATGAGAACAGAATGAACAAAAATATGTTGTTTTCTCGGAAGAGTTTTGGTTTTATACTGTCCTTCAGCTCAAGAGGTTTATATGTATTTCTGTTATGCATTTTACCTATAGAGTGAATTCAGTCTGCCATTGACTGTTTTCATTTGCCACACACAGCATTTCTTAGTTCATCCACTTAGCAACAGCATGGCCAAAGTGATTTCTGGTTAACCTTGATCTGGGAGAAGACCCCTGTAGCAAGACTTGGATCATGTATGCATCATGCTAATGCCATAGATGAACCCAGCTAGCGTTGTAAAAATCCTTTCCCCCCCAAAGTTGTGTGACCATAATGTTTGATACAAGCAGTTGGGATACAAATGCCTCTAAGTTCTCTTAATAGGATATATATAAAATCGGGCAAAGGCACAGTTTTAAAATAGTCTCTGTGCAAGCATTGTAAGGCCAGATAAATGTTCCTAAAATAGCAATATATTTCTATTAAACAAAAAATCACTCAGACGCCACCTGCTGCTTTTGGCATTTTAAAATCTTATTTGGAATAGAGAGAGCAAATCATTGCTTCTCTGTCTCCCTCTCCCCTCCTAACTTCGAATGTTTCCGCCCAACCTTCAAACACGGCAGCCTGTTTTTCAAAGGCTGGTGGTTGGATGAAGCCAGTGGTTATTTGAGCCTGCATCCACAATGAATGCGTCCAGTCTGAACTAGACTGATTAGTACTAAATCCGGGATGCCAGGGCGATCAGGAAATAGAGCCCTTGTTTAAACACCAGTAATGATTTTTTTGTTGCATGGCTCTCATGGAAAGCTATTGTTGATTGCCTCAGCGCGGGAAGAAAAAAACCATAAAAAGACAGGGACTGTAATCCACTTCACTGTTACAGAGAGAGCATATGTGCAAAATCTTCTGTTACTCATAAGATTGGTGCACGCTGTATGAGAAGGATTTGCATGGGGTTTAAATCAGGCAAGAGAACACTGCACAGGAGTGTTTCTCTCGGAGTCCAAAATACCAGCATTTTGACAGCTGTAAGACCACAAACGTTCTTTTTTAAAGTAATTTTATTTTTCTGGCTTACAGTTAAAACTGAAAAAAGGGCAAATGCAAAAATCTTTATAAGCACACACATATTAAGTACTTACATAATCCACCAGTAGTGATATTTTCCAAGTGATAATTTTATCAATAATCATTAACCCACAGGGAAGGAGAAGAAATATAACATTTTTTACCATCCAGCAAAAGAGAGTGCAACTTTTGTTCATAGCATGCAACAGTGGAAATAAAAACAACTAAGTCTGAGATTTTCAGTGCTGCCCGGGGCGTTTAGACTCATAATTCATGACACATTTCACCAGAAGGTGGGTTTTTTGCTCTCTGCCTAGATGAATATGAAAATTTCAGCCAGAGTTTTTGTAGCCATCCCTTAATAAAATAACTCAGGCATGTATATGGAATGTGTTATTCTCAGCACTGAAGCATTAAGATCTGAAAAGAAAACAGTACTGCATGTAAAAATGAAATCAGTAATATTGTCTTCCATATCGCGTAAGAAATTTCCTTTCACTAGCTAGCACTCTGGAAAATCAGCTGTCTTTGCATTTCAGATAATTACTTCTTGTATCGTGAAGTTCTGTATTTGTGCTAGTTGAAGTGAAAAAAATATGCTTTGTGTAAATATTCCTCCTCCTTTCCATTTTCAGGATCTGTTCAGTGGAGCCATCACATCTTCTTTATTGTGGTTTTGGAAATAGATGGACATAATTACCTGTGTGGACTCTTTTTGTCTTTGCCCAGGAGGCAGTGAATTAGTTAGTCAGAGCCTAGCAGTCGAAGGGTTCAAAAAATCTCGCTTTTGTTCTTTGTTTGCAGATTTTATTCCTCACCGTACAGTATTCCAACAAACCGCATGATTCCACAGACATCAATCACGCCATTCATTGCTGCTTCCCCTGTCTCTACATATCAGGTACGTCAGATTTGCGCTTGTCTACTATGTTTCCCAGTTAATTATGTTTTGGATGTGGATGAAGGCAGAGTGTACACCACAGAAAATTGTGTGAGTGCTTGCGCTCTTGAGTCACACTTTAAACAAAAGGCTTTCTAGTAGTGTTCAGGTATCATTTGGAGTAGGGTTTGAAGTGTTTCCTGCATTCTTTACGCTAGCAATGAAAGCCACCGTAATTTTTTCTTATTTCAGTCAGCTTCTCTAGTAAACAGCATTTTGCTTCATTTCCAGTTGACAACAGCAGAAGCTTATCATTCTTACTGAAATGTTTTCTCATTTTGGCTCCCCTTCATTAGCCGAAAGGTTTTTTAAATGCATTTTTTTATAATTTATGTTGACTGCCTCGTATTTTGACCTTTTGAACTCAGCTGTATTTGCTCCAGTAACAGCATCCTTTAAAAGCGCTCATTTTTATCCAATAATCCCTGACAAAGCAAGTTACTTGAGGATAACTGTCCTCATATCCTTCTTTAGTCTCCCCATGTTTTGTTGTTCAGAATTTCTCTTTTCAGCATATCCCTCACAGATCTCCACTGGGAAATTATTGCCATGCTCTGGCTTTCTGAGATGGAAGTCAAAACCAGGTTGTATAGTTTTATTATTAGCCGTTCTCTGGGAAAATATGACTTCACTCTGAAGCCGGTCATTGGCTGTACATTTTCCCATTTCAGATATTTCTGTCCTATAGCATCAGTATTCTTCCAACTCAGAGTCCTACTTGTTGATAAGCTACCCAGACTTGCAGAGCTGCATGGTGGGTTGTTCTTAATGTTAGGGTTGGTTTGTTGGGGTGGGTTTTTTGAGATGGTATGCTACTACTTGCAGGTAATTCTGGGAGGTTGTGCTTTTACTTACTGTACTATAAACTTGATCTTCAAACCTAAATTAGTCTTTCAATTTACTTCGATTTTGTGTTACTTGATTTTATATGGCTATGTAACACCTCCCAAACAAAAGTTGTTTCAGTGAGATAAATTCAGTAAATGGCAACACCAAAGACATTTCAGTGCCAGAGACATATGAGTGCAGCTCACATGCACTTTTCTCAGTAGCAAAGCTGGCTTAAGAGTCATACCTCCTCCCTCTTATTCAGGCCACCCAGGCACTTATTCCCATCACCGTTCCACAATTCAGAGTTGATCCCTTCTCCCATCCCGACTTGAACCATGCATCGATTCATGGTTTGATGCATTTGCATGGTTTGATGCATTTGCACCAAAAACGATTTGTTTGGTTTTTTTTTTTTAACCCATATCATTCTCTGTAGGTGGTTTGCAGTGTAAGCCCAAAGGCATTTGCCCTGGGATGGAGGAGGAACTGCAGGGGCACAAGAATGGGAGCAATGAACAGCAGCAAGCTGTGGCAGCTCTAATATTTTTTAAGTAGTGGGGATTCACCACAGAAAATTTCGTAGTAGAGGTGTGTTTGCATGTGTGTGCATTGGGTTTGGTTCTAAAGATGTTCTGCTGAATTTGCTTTTCAACAAAAAAAATCAACTTTGATAAGCTTCAAGAAGTGTTAAGGGACACAATTACACAATTTAATTCTCACCACTTACTTCATGAACAAAATCACCGGGCATCTGGAAAATTGGGACCTTGTAGTTTTCTCCTAGTCATCCCTGCTCATGCTCAGTCTGACATGCCACATGCCCATCTCTGCAAGCTTGGGGATAGCTAGTGAGTTGCCCACTGATGGCTGTAGCACAGCTCTATTTTTGTGTATTTCCTGTGTGTTCTGGTGCCCAGACTGATGCAAAAGGAAACTGGGATACACAGTTCTTGGGGTTGAGTCTGAGTTATGATAGCATGTGGGCCATTCACACTTAGCCCAAGAGGGAGTTACAGCTCAGAGATGGCACCACAAATGCACAAGAACTCTGATGCATTTAGTTGCTAGTAAAATTGGTATATCCATAGAATCTGTTACATGTCAGTTATAAGGCATAAAAACAAAGAAGGACTTTGGTGTGGCATATAGAGTTCTGGTGGGAACAGACCCCATGATGCCCAAGGTACAGAGCTGATCCTGGGGGGCAGGGATATCTTAAGCCAGCTTCGCCATGGAAGCTTTCAATTAGAATAAACTTCAAAAATTCTGAATTAGATCTGCAGTTCTTACTGAAAATGGAGTTAAATCATGGGATCTCTGAAAATGTTATGCCTTTGAAAGTTCATACAGATAATTTTGAAAATTAACTTTGCACATTTTATGTCTCCTGCACTGTTGGTTGGATGACATGTTCATGATTACATTGATGGATGAAAGCAAACAATACAAATGAAGGAATATGACAACATGTAATACTGAAGACTGCATTATGATATAAAATGGTGTGGATCGTAGAAGTGGTGCGATCACTCAGACTTCTGACTTTGGTAGAAAACATTATCAAATGAAATTTGAAAGCTTTTTCTTTTGCCAATAACTTTACGAAGCGTAAGTGATTTTTGCGTTGAGTTACATGACTTAAGTCTTTTGCCAAAATTAGCTCTGTAGTCATAATAGAAATAATATTTTCAAGTAAATCTTTGGGTTCTGTTGTAAACTTTTCTGTGCTAATTAAAAGTATTTGATGTGCAGGTCCAGAGTACTTCATGGATGCCTCATCCGCCATATGTTATGCAACCAACAGTAAGTGGATACTTGCTTATATACAGCTAAAAGTGCTTACACTGTAGCCTTGCTCTGCTTGTCAGCCACATTAAAGTCCTAGGTCATGTAAGAGCAGCCAGCTGCTCCCTTTGACAAGAGCCCTCCCCTGTAAAGATTCTGCTTCTTTAAGGAGCACCATTTGATTTAGTGAAAAGGGGAGGATGGGTGATATGTTATCTAATTGCATTGATTATAAGAGAATAACAAGCTCTAAGTGTTGCTTCTGAAGCTTTGCTTCAGGGACTGTAAA